TGGAACTGGCTGGTGGGGCCCGAGACCCGGGCCGCGAGGCCTACGTGAGGTGTGGGGCGCAGGCTGCTGAGAGTACGCGCCGCTGAAATCCCCGGTGGAAGGGGAACAGAGCCCCCAAAACCCAGCGTGGAGAGAGTGTGGGATTCAGGGCCTCGGGAGTGGAGTGCAAGGTACAGAGTCGGCACATCCTGGCGAGCAGCTGACATTGACCATCACAGCCAGGCCCCTGGATGTATCTGTGCACAGTCACGGGGTGCGGGTCCCAGACCCTCGCGGGGTCATACCCCTCAGATGTTCCGGGCAGTGTGGGGGCTTCGGACCCCCAAGGAAGGGGCACAGAGTCCCCGGACGTTTAGACGGCAGGGAGCAGTGCGCGTGGAGCCGTGGGTGAGCCTGGCACAGAGACGCCGGCACAGGCCTGATGGGCTCCCACAGGCCAGACGCCCCTGACCGGGCACCAGATGTCCAGAGTCTCGGGTCCACATGAGAGGTCGCCGTGGGGGGCTAGGCTGCCCGAGGCCCTGACGACTTCAGTCGTGCAGTGTGGGATCCTGTCTTCCAATGCCCAGGACTGGGGGTGGGCGGCCCAGGGGCCCTAGAAACTGGGGGTCAGGTCACTGTCAGGCTTCCAGAAGTGGGGTACAGGCCGTCCGGACACTCAGAGATTCAGAGCCATGGGTCCCCGGGGCCCGAGCCTTCACGCGAACGGTGCGGCCACACTAAGGCAATGGAGCTCCAGACCCATACTCGGAGGAGGGTGATGGAGTCTGGAAGTTCGGGGTGGTGGGTGCCCAGCCCCCCTCCATTCAGGTGAACGAGGGTGGATCTGTCAACCCTCAGGTGAGCAGGCGGCAGGGACAGGCCAGTGACCCAGAGCCTCGAAGAGCTGGAGCAGGAGGTGCGAGCTGCATGGGCTGCGGTGACCCACACTGGGCCATGCGACCCGCAGGCGGGAGCAGGAGCGGGCCGCCTCCCGCGACCCGGCCCTGCCTGAGGTGCCCAGCTGGGGTTCCTGGTCCTTAGTTTTCCAGACCAGGGGGGGTGTACCCCAATGGGCTAAGAGAGGTCGAGATGGCTGGCTGGTGCAGAACCGCCACGAGGCTCCAGGGAAAGGGGCGCAGAACCCGGAGCCTCCAGAGCAGAAGGCCCCAGCTCTCAAAGACAGGCGCCCAGGCTGTAGACGTGGTGTGGGTTCAGCTCTCCAGCAGAGGAGGGTATGGGAGCCCAGGCACTCCAACGAACGGGGTTCAGGACCCTCTCCGGCTCATGGGGTACAGGACCCATAAACTCCAATGAATGGGGTTCAGGACCCAGACGCTCAGAATGATGGGGCTCAGCTTCCACACACTCTAATGGGTACAGGGCTCCGTACACAGACAAATGGGGCCCAGGCCCCCAGGCATGGCTGGGGTGGGGGCCCAGCTCACGGGAGGCTGAGGAGGGCCTTGCAGACAGGTGGGCGGCGGCGCAGGCGGCAGGGCCAGTGCAGGAATGAATAATGCGCGTAACCACAGACTGGGTGACACGCACAGGTAGGGTGGGTGGAGCACAGGGTGTCCCGACCACAGCGACGAGGCCACCAGGCCTGGCCCGGCACTCAGGCCTACGGGAGACGTGGCAGCGGAGCATTCAGGTACCCACGGGGCCGACCAGTGGGCACGGGCTGTCCAGGTACCCAATGACCACAGACAGGAGAGTTCTGGAGCCCAGACCCTGGGGGGGAGGAAGGAAGGCTTCCCGGAAGCTCAGATGGCCAGGTGTGTCCCCAGGCATTTGCTCTGATGCCAAGGGTGCCCCAGATGAAGAGAGACCCTGAGAGCAGGAGAAGGGGGTCCCCCACGGTCCCAGGCAGGCCCCCAGGTCACGGAGAATCCCGGTGTTCTGACATGGGAGTTGGGTTACGGCTGCACATGTCATCAGACATTGAAGTGGGTATCTCTTCTGTGTCCAGGTGAACGGGGAATATTCACCCAGACACTCCACAGAGCAGGGGTCACACCCCCTGGAAATCTGGGCTCACAGACAGCACGCAGGCTTCCGGAGGAAGGGAACGAGGCTCTAGGAAAAAGCACCTCAGCATCAATACTTAGGCGCGTGGGGTAGAGTGGGGTACAGGCTCCCAGATGCTCAGATGATGGGGTACACGCACCCCAGAGGAAGAGGGCAGAGGTAGCGTGAATCACAGGGTTGGGGAGCATGGGGGCTGAGAGCCAGCGGATGGGCACCGGGCACCCCACTCTGCACAGGGCCGAGGCATGGTGAGCCCGGGGGCCCGCAGGAACAGAGTGGGGGCGGCAGCCGGGGTCCACGGGGGCAGGGTGCACGCGTGCTGTCCTGGCACGTCTCACGCTCCTGTGCCAGCAGCTCCTGGCCACCCCGAGCCAGCGTTCCCCCAGAGTTCCAACCTCAAACATTCCCCGGGCAACCTCAAAGGAAGCACCCCCGTCCAGGAGCCCCGCCAGGGTCTCCATGTGGCTGTCGGCTGCCAAGCCGCCGTCTCGGGGGCCGCAGGGCTGGCCGGGGGCTGCCAGCTCTGTTTGGTTTTCCCCTTCCTGCCCTAGAAGCTCAGACGCCCGTCTCGCCGTGGAGGCGCCCGTGTCCTGGGACAGGCACAAAGGCCCTACAGTGGGGCCGGGGAGAGCGGCGCACGGGCACGTGTGCTCAGGGCACACCAGGGCCCCCGGCACGTGCGGCCGGCGCTGCATCTGCCCCCCAACGGCCTGCTCTTGTGGCCCCAGAAGTGCTGGGGCAGCACGTGGTCCCCGAGGTGTTAGCCGCTTCTCCCAAACCCCCGTCGCCGTGTAGGACTAGGAGAGAGCCGAGCCCCGGACGGGGGCCCCGTTCCCAGAGCCGCACACGACCCGCAGGCCCCCCCCCTCCCCCCCCAAGCAGCCTCGGAGCCTGGGCCGAGTCTCCCGGAAGTCCAGCCCGACCAGTCCAGCGGGTGGCCCCGTCTCAGCCGCTCTCCTGTTAAGCATTAACCAGCTCTCCGTCTGGCCACCGGCGGGAGTGGGTGCAGAGAGACACCCCGGCCTGGGAGGGCCACTCAGGGCTGGGCCCAGGGAGGGCCCTGAGCTGGCCAGAGTGGGGAGGTCGCAGGCCTGGGAGCTAGAGCTGGGGGCGGGGGGGCAGGCTGGTCCAACAGAAGCCCAGATGCGTGGGGACGGGCCAGCCCGGCCAGAGGCACGGGCACGAGCGGAGTGACCTCCAGAAGCCCAGGCATCAGCAGGGCCAGGCAGACCGAGATGGCCGCCCGGCGACAGCGCCGCCCGGCCGCCCTGCCCCGCACAGGGCCTGGCCCGGCTGTGACTCTGCCTGTTCCAGCAGCGCCAGAAAGCTATGCTCCTCCAGCCCCAGACGCGTCGGGGCTCAGGGCCCCCTCCTTGGGACGCAGGACCCTCTCAGACCAGGCCCGGCCCTCCCTCCCGCTGCCCCACCCGGTGTGCAGCCCAGACGGGCCATCACCCCTCTTACCAGGCCTCTGGAGGCCCGGAGCTGCCCCACTGACCCCTGGAGGGGCCCCTGGAGGCGACCTGGAGCCTGGACTCCTGGCACCCGGGTCCCAGGGGAACCCTCCTCCCCAGGGAGTTCCCCGGCTCCTGAGGGCCAGCAGTTCCGGCCCTGAGGTGGGGCTCCCCGAAGCCCTGCCTCTCACACCCCCTCCCCCCCACGCAGAGAACTCTCATTCACCAGAGGCCCGGCCTCGGCTCCGAGCACGGTCCTCACGTGCGCTGGGTAGAGAGGGGGCCTGGAGGCCCGGCCGGCCGCGGGAGTGCAGGCAGCAGGTGAGAGCTTCCCACAGCCCGGGGGGCTGCCACCCCAGCCACACTGGGGGGCTGGCTCTTCCTGAGGGGGAGGAGGGCCCACATAGCCTTGCTCCCACAGCACAAACAATGCCAGCTAGGCTGGGCGGCGGGGGGGTGGCTTGGCTTCGTGGGTGCCTAGCTCCAGGCTGGCGTGGAGCCCTCCACCTGGCAGAGCCGGGGCTCCTGAGTGGGCGAGGCGGGGTGGGCCCGGCGCAGACCGCCTGGCGGGTCAGGTGGTCGGAGGGCGGGGGTCACGAGAACGGCTTCCTGGAGGAGGTGGGGCTCACACAGGCCTTGAAGGGCGAACAGGGTAGGGATGGCGCGGAAGGGACAGCGTCAGCACGGAGCCGTGGGAGCCGAGGACCGCAGGCTCTACCTACAGGGTCCGCGAGGCCGGGTCTACACAGCAGCGGGAGGCCGCGTCCCACAGCGGGAGGCCGGGACAGGCTCTCCGCTTAGGAAGGACGCCCAGCTCCCTTCCTGGGGAAGAAGAGCCTTAGCACTAGGGAGGGTTTTCCCCGCCGGCCACAGAGCAGGGGTGGACCCCAGGAGGGACCCCTGGCCTCCTGACTTGTGGGCAGGAAGGCCCCCCCCAGCCGCAGCCCCAGGACCCAAGGGCTGTGGGGGGTGCTGGGGTAGGGAAGCCAGGCCCTCCCAGCCTGCCCCCCCCAGAGTCGCCCTGGGGTGTCTGCCTGCCTGGGGCTCCTGCTCGCCTTCCCAGAAGCCGGACTGCGGGCTGGGTGCCGCGGAGTGGGCGGCGCCACCTGGTGGCGACATGCCTGCCTGAACCTTCACCACCGTGGGGACCTGGCGGTCCTGGGGGACCCTGTGACTCATCTAGGCCTTGGGGTCCTTAGTGCTTGTGGCCGGCCTGCCCGGGGCCCTGGGACCCTCCAGGGCCAGCTTCCAGACGTCTCCTGCGGTCCCGGGGTCAACCCTCACTGGGGAGGCCCAGGAACCCTGCCTGGCTGGCAGTTCCTGTGAGTCCATGCCCCGGCCCCGCCCCCGCCCCCGCCCCCGCCCCGGGTCAGGGGCACACGCACATACCTACACCCGCGTGTGCGAGTGTGCACGCACGCACGCCCACGACACAAGCGGACGTGCACACACAGGCACGCACGCACCGAGAGTCTGCTGACAACGTAGCTGGACTCTCAACCATAAGACTCCAGTGGAGCTGTTCCAATTCCAGAATATGCATGGGCCCCGGCGTTTCTGGAAGGTTGGCCCCCCGGGGGTAGGGGCTCTGACCCCCAGAAACCCTCAGGCCGTCAGCTGCCACCAGCTGCCTGTGGGAGCCTGAGCGGACCTGAGGACATGGAGCCCAGGGCGCCGCAGTCCCCGGCAGGCGCTCACCCGAGGGGCCCCAAACACACTCGTCTCCACGATTCGCGGGGCCTGTGCAAGAAACAGGCAGCCTCTTTTTCAAAATGGTTAAGCTTTCCAGCCAGCGAGGGTGGGCGCTGGACCAGGCCCGGGGCCCTCCTGCGTGCGGGACCCGCCTGACATCCCTTCCCGGTGCCGGGGCTCCCTGGGCCTGCTCCTCTCCCAGCGTCCACCTACTTGTGTGTGAGGCCTCACAGGGACGGCACGCACGCAGCCCCTGCAGGGGTGACAGAGCCGGGCCTGGGGGGCAGGACACCTGGGGTCCGGGCGCTCCCTCCCACCCCAGCCGAAGCTCCGTCCACAGCACACTGAAGGGTTGGGGCGGTTCTGGGAGGGGGGCCTTGGCACGTGCAGGAGCGATGGGCTCCAGGCTGGGCGCCTGGTCATTCCTGGGGGGGAAGGGGGGGTGGCCTGTCTGAAGGAGGAGGAGGCCCCTGGCGGCCGGAACCGTGGCTTTGGCCACCAGTGTTCCCCAGAGGAGGGGGGCCGGGAGGAGCTGAGCCAGCGAGACTTCCGTGGGTCTGGGGTCCCAGGAAGCTCCACGGCGGCTGCCGGGCCCCAGTTCAGAATCCTGCGTCCCTGATGTGGGTGGGAGCCGCCAGCCCGGCCAGGTGTGCTCCCACCCCAGGCCCCCCTCCCTCCCGCCGGCAAGAAGGGTGGCAGGTCGGCAGGTCCAGGCAGCGGCTGCTGAGTCAGTTTGCAAGGAATGTTCTGGCCGCTCCCAGCCTCACCCTGCTCCCAGGCGCTGCTGGCGCGGCGCCCATGCCAGGAACGCACCTCCAGCCCGGGCTTGCTTGGACCAGCTCCCCCCAGCAGCCGACCCCCACCTCTCCCCCTGCTTGCCCCCATGACCTCGGCAGAGCCCCGGGCCCACTGAGCCCCCATCCCACACTCCCAGGTTACTTCCCGGGCCAGAGGGGGGCCCACATGTGTGAACAGGCTCCACCTGTGTGACCGCGAGGAACCGTGGTGGCCGAGGTCAGGGCGGGATGAACTGGGACCCCAGCGACAGCCCCCAGGCAGGGCCCCGGGCCCAGGGGAGAGGGGCCTGGAGGGAGAGGGCTTCCTGGAGGAGAAGGCTCTACGACGAGGAAGGCCTGGCCTGCTTAGCTGGGGCTGGGGGCTGGGGGCAGGGGAGGTGGCCAGGAGGCTAGGCCTGTGGCCGCTGAGCGCTCTGGCCAGTGTCTCCCTCCCCTTGGCTCACTCGGAGCCCTCGCCCCTGGCCCCCCAGGCTGCCTCCTTGCCCGGGCAGACCCTGGGCTGCTGCTGCTGGGCAGATGGGGCAGTGGGGCTGGGGGCCGAGAGGCCATCCCCAGGGGTGACCCGGCCACCCGGGCTATGTGCTCCCGGCCAACAGGGAGGGGAGATGGGGCGCCCCCCAGACGCCCGCAGCACGCCAGCCCCGGCGGGCACCACAGCTGTACCCGGGCTCATTCCGGACCTCATCGCCAGGCTGCCCTGTGAGTTGCAGGGTGCGCACAGGGGCGTGGGGATGGTAGGCCTGGTGGGAGACGCTGCCGTCCACAGATGCACCCCGGGCCCCTTTGTGCGCCCGCCCGTAGGGCCCCGCTGGGTGCTCGTCGCCGTTGCTGTGGCTGTTGGCGTCCTCGCCGTCTCCTGCTTCCTCTGTGTCGTGTGCTGCTGCCTCCGTCGCCGCAGCCGGGGCCGCAAGAAGAAGCCCAGGGACCAGGGGGCTGTGGGCCTGGCCAGCCCTCAGAGCACCACCAGCACCCACCTGGTGAGGCGCGGGCACCGCCTCCGGGCTGCTCGGTCCCAGAGGGCAGCTCAAGGCCCAGACCCGGGGGCTGGGGGTGGCCCTGCGTGCTCAGGAGGAAGCTCATTCCCTGGTGACGGTCTGGTCTGCCCAGAAGCAGAGGCAGGGAGGGCCCTCCGGGCAGGGGACACTATGAGCAGAGGTGATGAGGGAGGCCCTGAGGGCCAGCCCCGGGGATTGGGCCCGGAGGGGTGGGGGGAGGCACCGCCTGAGGAGGGCAGTTGTGCAACACATGCATCTGGGGGTGCACATCTGTAAGGCCTGGCTCACGGAACTGAGCCGGGACATTAGCCCTTCTGTGGCCTGGCCTGGGGGCAGGGGCTTCGACCACAGAATCGGGGCTCGGTCCCAGCAGCCCCCGCCTCCCATCCCCACCTACCCCAGGTGCAGCCGGACGTGGGCGACTCGGAGGCTGCCCCCGGGGGCCCCCAGGACTGGGGGCGCCTGCTGCTCTCCCTGGGGTATGACGTTGGAAGCCAGGAGGTGAGGGGCCGCAGGGGGTCCGTGGGGCGTGTGGAGGGGTGGTGGGTGTCGAGCAGGCGCTGGGTGCAGGGCTGCCCGGGACGGCTCCGAGCTGAGCAGCCCCCGGTTCCCAGATCAGGGTGGGCCTCAAGCAAGCTGCAGACCTGAGGGCTGGGGGCCCGGGCGGCACGGCAGACCCCTACGCCCGCGTCAGCCTCTCCACGCAGGCGGGGCACACGCACGAGACCAAGGTGCACCGCGGCACGCTGCACCCCACGTTCCAGGACACCTGCTGCTTCCACGTGCGTCTGGGGGGGTGGCAGGGGAGCCGAGGCCGGGGTGAGGGGTCCCCGCTCACGCGCTGGCCTGCAGGTGGCGCAGCACGAGCTGGCTGGGGTCGCCCTGCAGGTGCAGCTGCTGAACTTCAGGCGCTTCTCTGCGCACGAGCCGCTGGCTGAGCTCAGCCTGCCGCTGGGCGCCGTCGACCCACAGCACGTCCTAGAGCGGTGGTACCAGCTGGGCCCGCCGGGCACCACGGAGGTGAGGCCACTGACCGCTGGGCTCCCGCCTGGCCCTGCCCCGGGTGACCCGGGGGAGACTGAGGCCCCCCTCTCTGCCCGCAGCGCGAGCGCTCAGGTGAGCTGTGCCTCTCGCTCCGGTACGTGCCCAGCTCAGGCCGGCTGACCGTGGTCGTGCTGGAGGCCCGAGGCCTGAGCCTGGGACTGGCAGGTGAGAGCCCCCCCGGCCCCTCCGCGGGGAGACAGGGAGCCCTGGGCTCGGCCCTCGGACCCAGCATGCCTTCTGACGCCTTCTGCCTGCCCAGACTCCTATGTGAAGGTCCAGCTCATGCTGAACCAGAGGAAATGGAAGAAGAGAAAGACATCGGCTCGGAAGGGCACGGCCACCCCCTACTTCAACGAGGCCTTCACCTTCCTCGTGCCCTTCAGCCAGCTCCAGGTGGGCTGACTGGAGGAAGGGGCAGGCGGGCCCGCCCCCACCCTTGGGGCCAAACTGACCCCTGTCTTTCTCTCCCTCCACGCACTTCTGCCCGCCTCTGCCCAGAGCGTGGATCTGGTGCTGGCCGTCTGGGCCCGGGGCCCGCAGTTCAGGGCCGAGCCCGCGGGCAAGGTGCTGCTGGGCGCCCGGGCCTCGGGTCAGGCCCTGCAGCACTGGGCGGACATGCTGGCCCACGCCCGGCGACCTGTGGCCCAGTGGCACCGCCTGCGGCCCGCCAGGGAGGTGGACAGGGCCCTGGCCCAGAAGCCGCGCCTGCACCTGCCCTTGCCTGGCTCCTGAAAGCGTCCCGGGGGCCACGAATAAATCCCTCCTCTGGCTGCAGCACTGTGTCTTTCCTGAGCCCTTGGGGACCTGGTAGGCTCAGGGGCTCCACCGTCATCGGTGTGGGGAGAGGACCCCTTGGTGGGATGAAGGGGTCCCCTCCAGGCCCCACGGGGATGGTATGAGGAGGTGGGGAGCCCTCCCTGTCACTGGGGCTTCAGGGTCAGGGACCGTGTGATGGGAGGTAGGCTGCAGCCAGCCCGATGGGGACAGAGTGGGCGGTGAGGAGGCATTTTGGGGGGGGTGATAGTGGAGGGGGCCCGTTTAACCCCCCCCAGAGCCGCAAACCTTCCAACGGCCAAGGCAGGGCCTCCTCTTCCGGACGGCAGGGGGCAGTAGATGCCTTCGGAAGCCTCCGCTGGCCTTCGGGGGCTCAGCCCTGGCCAGGAATGCAGCTCTAATCCCCACACATCTGGACGGCTTTAGCTCCCCCAACCCTCCCCATGGCCCGTGAGGCCGGCAGGGCTGGGGCCACGCACCCCAGCTCAGAGGACGCCAATTCCTGGTCCTCCAGATGTTTCTGCTGGGTGGGGGCCCGGGCAGGGGGCTCAGCCCCGGGCCCCCTCGGGTCAGGGAGAGGTTCCCAGGCGGGTGGTGTCGCCAGCCCCGGGTTGAAGGACGTGTTCCGAGTGAGCCAGGAACCACCCCAGGGCCGGGCGTTGCGGCCGGCTGCAAGTCCAGGCGCCCTCCCTTCTTCTCCCAGGAGGGAGGGCGGCCCCCACCCAGAGGGCCCTGGCCACTGCCGCAGGCCATGTTTGGGGGGTCCAGGCCTTGGGGAGAGGAAGGGACTTGGCCAGCTCATGCCTGAGAGGCCCGCCCCAGCTGGAAGGCAACGGTGAGATGCAGGGGGCTGCCCCCTCCAGGAAGCCTGCCCCCTGGGGAAACTGTGGGGAAATCGCAGTGCAGACCCTGACTTAGGACCAGAGTGACCCCTCAGCTGACCCTGAGCCGTGTGCCCCGAGGTGGCCCAGCAAGGCCAAGGACAGCTGACCACAAGCTCCTTGCAAGAACAAAGGAGGCTTCTCGAACTCGTCACTGAGCTCTAAATAGAGCAACCCAACCTCGGCAACCCCCCCAAGACTTCTTGGACTGGGCGACAGCACGAGGCTGGGCCGGGCCAGGCGGCCTGGGCAGGTGGGGAGGCCCCTGTGCCCCCATTGGTCTGAGGAGGGCTCCATGCCCTTTCTGAGCAGGGGCCCAGCCTGGGGGAGGCCATTTATACCCCTCCCCCTGGGCCCACCAGCCCAACTTGCCGCTGCCGGCCTGACCTCGCTCCCCACGCTGCTGCCCAGATACTAGGTGAGGCCAGCCCGGGGGGCTGAGGCCCGGACAGGCGCTTTTGGAGCCGGCGTACAGGAAGACTTCCCTGGGTGGGGGCCTGGGGGTTGGGGGCCGCCTCTAGCAGCCCTCTCCGGGGGGTTTGCATGGTGCGGGGCGCGAGCCAGAGATGCATCGGGAGGCGGCGGAGGGGGGGGGGCAGGGGTGGTGGACAGCCCCCTGATCACCAGGCCTCACTCGCGGGTGGGACACCAGGAGCAGATCTGGCGCGTTGAGGGACCCCAGGCCCAAGTGGGGAGCCGTGTCTTGCATGCACTTGGGCCCAAAGCCGAAGGCGCAGAGCTAAAAATAGCTGGATGGCTCTGGTGGCCACCTGCGCCGGCCTGTCCCCCCCTCCCTCGGGGACAGCTGCGGCCACTCCAGGCCCCTCCCGGGACATTCTGGGAACACTTTCTCCTCTTACTTCTTACCCTGGCAATTCCAAGACAGCGCCTCCAAGGAGGGCAGAGAGGGGCAGGGCAATGGGCGGGCTGGGGGTGGGGGCTCTCCCCCGACCCGGGCAGCCGGGGTCCACGGCAGGACAGGAGCCTCCGTCCTCACACCCAGGCCTTTTCTCTCCCACAGGCTCTAAGCCCAGGACTTCAGGATGGGGGAGTAAGTGCCGTCCCCAAGCCCAGGGCCCCTGCCACCCCTGCCCTCCCCCCAACCGGGGTGGGGGTCTTCGCAGCTCCCCAGCCCGCCCGGGGCCCCTTCCTCTCCCACCCACCCCACACACTGCCTCCTCCGTGGCCCTAACCTCTGTCTTCTCTCCGCCCACCCACCTGCCCTCTCGGGACAGTGAGGAGGTGAGTACCTTCTTGGACGGGCATGAGACACAGAGGGGATGGGACCCCCTGCTTGGGTTAGGTCAAAGGTCAGAGCTCAAGGGAAGCTGCCCAGCCCCCCCCGCCCCCCCCCCGGGAACGAGCCCCACCCAGCCACCGGGACAGGGACGAAACAGGAAGTGGCTGCTGGTGCCTCATGGGGCAGGGGAAGTGAGGCTGTGGGCAGGTCACCAGAATTGCTTCTTCTCCCCGGTTGCAGCCCCCCCACCCTGGGCCCTGCAGGGATCCCCGGCCCCCCCTCTTCTCCACTCCCCTAAACCTGCGAACGTGACCTGCCACCTGGGTTCAGGTGTCCTGGGCCTGGCCCCCCACCAGGGCCTTGGGAGCCCCAGAGTCCAGCTGCCTCCTCGACAGGGCCCACAGTGCGGGGCAGGGCGGGTGGGGGCGCATGGGGGTGCGGGGCACCGGGCTGGCCTGACTCTGCCTCCCGTCCCCTGCCCACAGAAACGCAACAGGGCCATCACGGCCCGGAGACAGCACCTGAAGGTAGGTGCTGGCCCAGAGAGGGCTGTGCTGGGGTCTGTGCGGGGCGGGGCCCCCGCAGCCCCTCACTGGCCTGCGCTCTGCCCCCCGCCCCGCAGAGTGTGATGCTCCAGATCGCGGCCACCGAGCTGGAGAAGGAGGAGGGTCGCCGTGAGTCTGAGAAGCAGAACTACCTGTGTGAGCACTGCCCCCCCTTGCACATCCCCGGCTCCATGTCTGAAGTGCAGGTACCCTCCCCTGGCAGCGCCCTGCCTGCTGCCTCGGTCTCCCCACTGGTCAAGAGGGGGGTCAGGGCAGGTGGAGGGCAGGTGGACAGCGGCCCGCCCACCCGCTTCCCCCACCCCCAGGAGCTCTGCAAACAGCTGCACGCCAAGATCGACGCGGCCGAGGAGGAGAAGTATGACATGGAAGTGAGGGTGCAGAAGAGCAGCAAGGAGGTGAGCGGTGAGGGGCGGGGCCGAGGCGAGGGGCAGCCGGACTTCGGTGAGGGGCGCTCTGACCTGGCGGGGGTGGGGGGCCTGGCCCCTGCTGGCTCCCACCCCGTCCTCCCCACCTGGCAGCTGGAGGACATGAACCAGAAGCTCTTCGACCTGAGAGGCAAGTTCAAGAGGCCCCCGCTGAGGAGGGTGCGCATGTCAGCCGACGCCATGCTGAAGGCGCTGCTGGGCTCCAAGCACAAGGTGTGCATGGACCTCCGGGCCAACCTGAAGCAGGTCAAGAAGGAGGACACCGAGAAGGTACGCGCGGCCTCTCCGTCCCGCAGGGCGCCGGGGCCCAGCCCCGCCTCTGCTGCCCGCCTCTGGGGGACGCGGGCCGCGGGGGCCGCAGCCTCCTCCTGAGCCCTGCCCTGGCCCCTCCCCAGGAGCGGGACCTGCGTGACGTAGGCGACTGGCGGAAGAACATCGAGGAGAAATCTGGCATGGAGGGCCGGAAGAAGATGTTCGAGTCCGAGTCCTAGGCCCGCGCGCGGCAGCCCGGCCGGGAGCTCCCAGCACACTGAGGGAGGACGGGGCTTGTCGGAGTGATCAATAAAGGATTCCAATCCCCACGACTGGTGTGGTCTGGTCCTGCCCAGCCTCACTGCCCAGACTGCGTCCGGGTGCCCGGCAGCCGGCAGTGCAGCGGGGGGCAGCCTGGGGTGGGGGCAGTGGGGAGCCTGCCCGGCATCAAGGACTCTGGGCTGCACTGGGAGGGGGGCACTTCAGGGCCCGAATCCAGCCAGCCTGCACCCTGGGGTTGCATGGTGCGGTCAGTGGTGAGCGGTCAGTCCCCACGTTCCCCAAGGCTGGCCCTGAACTCGCCGGCCCCGGGGGGCCTGGAGGCGGATGGCCTGGGTCGTGTCAGAGAGGCAGTTCCGGAGATGAGATCACTTGTCCGTGTGTATGGCACTCAGGGGGCCTGCCCGGCCCAGAGACCCTCTGTCTGGCGCGATTCCACGCAACGTGGGCCGCCCCCACCCCTCCCACGGGGGGCTCATGGGCGCACTCCCGGGGTCCAGCAGGGACGCGGCCCAGCTGGGGTCCATGCTCCCGCCTGGGGGCTGACGACGGGCCCACCAGGCTCCAAGGCAGCCCCGGGGGAGGGGCTTCCACTGCTGTTTGCTCCTTCCCAAGGCCTCGGCCCACCTCACACATCAAAGGACACTGTCCCTGATGGGGCCCTGAAGAGGACCATCACCACAAGGCCACGGCTGACCCACTTCCTCTGTAGGAAGTGATATGGTGACCCACCAAGGTCTGTCCACCCGGATCTTTGGAAGGGTGCCCAGGAGGGGGGCCCAAGGAGGCCAGGCCACCCACCCTGCCCTTCCGCTCGGGCCGCCCCAGCGATAGATCTGCCAGGGGCCAGACCTTGGAAGGGGAGCTGCCTTTGGCCTTGCCTGCGTTCAGCCCCCCGCCCCTGCCTCAGCCCAGGAATCGGTCCTTGAGGGCCCCCTTGAAGGCCCTCCCGGCTCGGACACGCGCGCTAGGCCCCCTGATTCAGCTCCTGCAGGATGCTGGGGGCCGAGGCGGAGCTGAGCGTGGGCAAGGCAGGAAGTGAATTCAAAGCACAGGATTCCGTGTCTGGATAGAGCAACAGAGGCAGCACCGCACCGTGGACCTGGCAGAGCGACCCGGGAAGCTGTCCAGGGGCCGTGGCTCCCAGGAGGGTGGGAGGCAGGGGCGCTGGGGACCTGGCTCCCACAAGACTCAACTTCCTGGGTTTGGGAAGACTCGCCATGTGGAGAAATGATTTCTTTTTTTTAAGTCAAGGAAGTTTCAAACACGCAATCGCAGGTAGTGACCCACCAGGGTGGGGACCACGCAGGGGCAGATGCCATGACTCGGGCTGGGAGCAGATTTGTGGGTGTCTGTTACAACAGGCAACCGGACGGGGAGCAAACAGCACAGCCAGGCCCCCGGCCAGCTGTCCTGGGGTCCCCCCCAGACACACTGCCTCCGGCGGGGATGTCTGTGAAGCATGTGGCCCAGCACCTGGCACCTGGTGGGGGCTCTGCATTCTAGAAAGATCTCCATGGTGGGGAGAAGAGGCAGTTCAGGAGTGAGGCTGGAGTGGGGATGGCACGTGAACCTCCTGGGAGGGAGGGAGACAGAGTGGCAGGTACTCAAGAGGCAGAGACCCCGGACTTGGTGGACGAGGGGGATGGGAACAGGCCGGGGGGCTGTTCCCCAGGGAGGGGGCTCTGAGCAGATAAGGGGCTGGGTTTCGGCTGTGGGTTTGCTGGATGCAGGGGTGCAGGCTGGAGACGGGGGTCTGGGTGTGCTCAGAAGTGAGTGTTGGGTGATCCACAACAATGGGCAGGCAGGGAGGGGAGGAGAAAGCTTCTCCTGGAGGCGGGAGCTGGGCGCTACCCGGGAGGGACCCCGGAAGGGAGGGGGAGGGTATCAAAGGTACAGCGGCGAGGGCGACGCCTGCCCTGTGGGTGATGTTGGGAGCCCCAGAGGAACCTGGGCTGGGCTGTGGCCGGGCGGGGTGGGGAAGAGCACCGCAGGCAGCCGGGGGGTCAAGGGCAGGACGGTGGGGGGGCGAGGTTGGTGTGAATGCGGGTGGGCTTGTGCGCACCTGTGACAGACAGGTTTATGTCCACAGCTCTTTCCCTGTCCACCTGCCACCAGGCCCGTGTCCTGGACACCATCCTCCACGGAGGGCTTCCTGGAGGAGGGGCTGAGTCAGGGCTGGGGGAGCAGGCCCACAGATGAGCCGGGAAGCAAAGAAGCGGGCAAAACAAACACAAATGCAGTAAAATAACTGAGGGAGCAGGGCCTCAAGGGTGCAGACCAGCAGGTGTGCGGGGCTGGGGGGCGTCTCTAGGAAGCAGGCCCCTTGGTCCTTGGGGGGCGAGGAGCTGAGCGTGAGGCAGGTGGGCGATGTCGGCGGCGGCTGAGTCCGGCGAGTGATGCGCCCGTGTTCCTTGTGTTGTTACCCTTGAAACTTTTCTGTAAACTTGCAATAATTTCTCCAAAGTTAAACTTTTCCTTGATCATCGAAACAATAAAATTCCTGAGCAACCGCGAAAACAGATGAGGTGAAATGAACCTAGCTGCATAGACCAAGTGCTGGGTGTGGAGCCGGGCGTGGGCAGGCAGGCCGAGCGCTGGGGGCGAGGACCGCGGGGAGGGCCTGGGGGGCACTGCTGCCCCCAACGCCGTAACGTGAGGCGGTGGGAGGGTGAGTGGGGGCGAGCCCAGGAGGCGGGCAGGGCAGGCAGTGCCCGCCTGGGGTGGAGGCCCAGTGACCTGGAAGTGGGCAGAGCTGGGAGGGCTGGGCTGGGCGTGGTGCAGGGGCTTCCCAGCTGATGGGACTGGCCCAGACTCAGAGGGACCTCCCCTCCACCCCTGCCCGGCCAAGGGGAAGCCCAAGTAGGGCCCTGGGGCCAGGGTTCCTCTCTGAGCAAGCATCGCCGGCTGAGGTCCAGCCCTTCCCCGGCCAGTCTCGGCCCTGTGACCTGCCCCCTCTTTGGTCCCTGAGCACCTGCTGTCTGTCCAGACCTGCCTTTGTCCCTTGTGGGGCCTCCCTGTCCCCCTGCTGTTCTGTTTCTGCCTCCCTGACTCCTCCTGGCAGGCTGCTGGGCCTCAGTTTCCCCAACTATGAAATGGGAGAGGAGAACATCCATCTCACGGGACGGCGGGGTGGGGGGGGCAGTGCATGTCCCCAGCCTCACACATGTCACACCCGCCTCAGTACTGGGCCTGGAAGCCTGTCTAGCTGTCCCTTGGCTGCCCCCCCAGCCCACCGACCTTCAAGCTCCCCCAAATGACCTCCTCCAGGAAGACTTCCATGATCCATCAGCCCCAGGGCCTGGTACGTCTGGGCCTAGGCTTCCCTAGAAGGGAGGGAGGCCCTCGGGTGGGGACGGGAGGTTGTGTGCTCACGGTCCAGCTGGCTCCGAGGCGCGCACACCTCCTCACCTGCTGCCTGCCGCCCCGTCAGCTCCTCTTGCCCCTTGACAGCCACCCCGGCCGCCCCTGCCTCTCCCCAGCCCCTAACCACCCCCGTCACCAGCGTCCTTGCTGGGAGAGGGTCCGGCCCACAGGAAGAAGACCTTCCATCCAGAGGGCTTCTCCCCACCGTGGCCACCCACGGTCCCCCGGGGCCCTCCACCTCTGAACCTTCAAGGCCAGCCCCGGGGAGGGGCCCTCCTGCCCCGCACGCACCCCTTGCTCTGGAGGGGATTCCTGGCAACCCCAGGTGCAGACGGGTACCAGCCCACCTCCCAGCCTGCCCTCCCCCGCCTCCACCCAACCAGGCCCTTCCAGGGACCCCTCACGCCCCAGTGAGCCGGGCCCACGTCACCCAATCCAGGCCACAGGGCAGAGCCCGATCCACAGTGGCCACACCCCAGGGACACGTGTGCCGCGCACTGGCCCTTCGGACGGCGCCCTCCGCCTCTCTTCCCCTGTCTCCTCTGCCCCCGCCTGGCCCCAGAGGCTCAGCTCCGGGTGCTCACCTCGTCGCCTGGCCTTTCCCGGCTGTTAAATGGGAGAAGGGAACCCGCTGGATGGCCACGGCCCCTCTTCACCTGACCGTGTGTCCATCTTCCCCTCCAGCCTGTCTGCCCCTGGCTCCCTTTCAGACTCCCTGTCCCCACTGGCCCCCGGCTGGGGCTGGACGGTCCAGGGCATCTTCAGCTTTATTTGTTTAAAGTGTGGAGAGATTTGGGGTTTGGATGCGATCACATAGAAGGGTGCCGGCCTGGGAGGGGGGCCTGGCCCCAGGTTCTGAGCAGGGGGCAGAGCATGGAGGGGGCCTGACTGGGGCGCTGAGCTCAGGACTGGGGGGGACCAGGCGACAGCCCCGCCTGTGCTGGTTTGTGTCCTCCTCGGAGTGCAGGGCGACGAGTAGAGGCCCGGGGTGACCCTGGGAGGGGCGGCAGCATGTGGGCCCCACAGCGCCCTGTGCACCCCAGGCCCCCGCCCGATGCCCCCTGGAGGCCGGGCTGCCTCCCGCCCTTCGGCCCAGCCGCTGGGATGGCAGGGCACACGGCCGGCACAAAGGCCCGCAGCCTTCGTGGCTTCAACAGCAGAAATGTCCGGTGTCCCCCAGGCCCCGCTCCGAGTGTGGGCAGGTGGCCCCCTCTGAGGCTGTGACGGAGAGTCTGTTCGGGTCCGTCCCCCGAGTCTGGCGGTTTCAGGGCTTCTCTGAAGCTCCCTGGCTTGTAGACGCACCCCCACCTCTGCCTCCGTCCTCACGTGGCCTGACCCTCGTGGGAGTCCCACTCCAGTTTCCCCTTTTTATAAGAAAACAGTCTTTTGGATGAGGGCCACCCCGATGACCTCACCCCGACTCATTACATCTGCAAGGACCTTCTCTCCAAACCAGGTCCCATCGTGAGGTCCAGAATTTGGGGGACACCGTTTAACCCCCAGCAGGAGGGAGCAGCTGCCTCTGGCCTTTGAGGGCCGGGGCGGGCAGGGGGGCCAGCAGCCTGCGGAGGGCCCTGGGGTCCGGTGAGCACTGGGGGGGCCACAAGGGCGAGTGTCTGAGAGGAGGGTGAGCGGCTGGGTCTGGCGGGCCAGGCTCTCAACACCGTCAGGGCAACGCCCGCTTCGCGGCCTGGGAGGGCCCTGCCCTCGGTTTCAAGCTCCATGGTCGCCCTTTTCACGTTCTTAATACCGTTTGACCCAGAGGCCCCGCCCTTCCATCTGCACCAGGCTCGTGAGTCCCCTGAATCAGGGGAGGCGAAGGGCCGGGGAGGGAGGGCGTGTCCCGGGAGCCGTTCCCGGCAAGGCCCCTACGTTTCCCAGCTGTGATGTTGAGGCCAACCTCACTGTAGGGCCAGAGGCAGGACCCAAATGGCAGGTCAACCCGGGGTGGCCCGTGGCCCTGGGGGTGCTGGATGCGGTGCTGAGGCCCTGCCCCCCTCCCCTGGCTGGACGTCCAGCCACTGCATCCTTGTCCGTGACCCCGGGAACCACAGAGGGGACGGGAGAGGGGGCAGGCTGAGAGCCCCCAGGGGCCCTGTGGGTTCCCGGGGGCGGTCCTGGTGCGGAATCCCCCTCACAGGGTGAGTGGGGAGGCTTCTCGGTGCGTGTGGGTGGGGACGGGGGGGCCTCACCTCCTCTCAGGCGGCTTGTCCCTTGGCCAGGCCCCATGCCGAAGCGTGAACACTCGGGGCCCTATTACCTTCCTCCTCTCATTGGGGAGCCCCTGAGCCCCCTGCCTCCAGAGCCTGGTGATGCTGATGATGCGTGGTCAGCTCCAAGCTCCCCGAGTAGGGGGTGAGGGGACTGGGAGGGGCTGCAGGAGACCGGAGCCCAACAGTTCAGGGACGTGAAGGAAGCACCGAGAAGACGTGGGGTGTGCAGCATGGAGCATCTCTGCAGGGCCCAGGGGTCAGTGGCCTGAAGAGCTCAGACCAGTCAGGGGGCTGGAGGTGTAGCCTTGAGAAGCTCGGAGAACAGGTGCACCAGGAGCCTTCCATGCAGAGATCAAGATGCTTCACGTGGAGGCTCCGGGGCCGGAACGAGCCCTGGTGCTCATGGATGGCCAGCCATGCACACACTTCCGGGCCAGGACTGGGGGGGATTCAGGACCCCATGGGGGGGGGCTCCCAGACAGGCGTCCGGACGCTGTCCAGCCCGTGCACACACTGCTGCCTTCCCGGGGCCCCTCTCAGTCACCCCTGGCCCTTGAAACTTGCTTAAGACTTCCTGATGACTGGGTTTTTTTTTTTTTTTTTTCTCTCTTCTCTTGCATCAACAGATTAAAAAACAACACCCCAACCCCAGCCCCAGTGCACTTCAAACCTCAACCTGCAGCCGGAAGGGGGAAGTGAAACCCTGCTGGGGGAGGGGGCTCTGGGACCAGCCGCCTGAGGGAGCAGCCAGAGCCACAGGCACACGCACAGACCCAAGCGGCCCGGACGCCAGCCCGATGGCGGAGGCCCCGAGCCACGCTGGCTCCGAGGAGCAGGAGGAGCTGCTGGTGGACAAAGACACCGGGTAAGGGTCTGTCCCGAGCGCACGGAGCAGTTCGCATCTGCACTGGGTGACGCGTAACTCGGGGCAGCACGGCCACTGCAGGGTACTTTCCTGGAACCCCGTCTCACCCCGCGGTGGGTGTGTGCCTCTTCGGTCGCCGTCTGTGGCCGGGCTTCAGTGGGGGAGGCCGGCCGCGAGCCCCCGCCGGTAGGATGCTAACCCGGGACACGGGGGCCAGGGACTCAGGGCCTTGCGCCGCCAGGCCAGGGCTCCGAGGGCAGGAGGCGCGATGGGAGGGCCTGGCCGGGAGGGGCTGCTTGGCCACAGGACCCTCAGAGCCCTTGCTGGAGGCCAGGCCGGGTCCCCCACCCTGCGGTGATGGAGGAGGCGAGGACGCTGGCCTGCACCTGTTCTGGGCCTGCAGCCGCTGCGGCTTGGAGATGGCCCAGGAGGCGGACGGGGGCAGAGGGCGTGTGCCGGCACAGCCGGAGCTGGGCAGAGAGCCCCGCGGAGCCGCTGGGTGCCAGCCTGTGCAGGGACAGGACACCCAGAGCCACCAGTGTGGAGAGGAGGGCGCTGCGGGTGCGGCTCCACCTGCCCTCCCCCTCCCCCCAGCAGCTGCCGGCTAGGGCGGGGTCCCCACAGCCTCAGGGCTGACTTGCTAAGTGGCTTCTAACCCCCACTGTCCTGCTGGAAGGTGGTGGTCAGTTCCCTGGTCCTGTGATGACGCCTTTATTCATAACGAAGGAACCGATCTGAAGTCTCTGCCATCAGCGCGTGTGTGCATGAGGCCGGTGGAAGGGCGCCTTCTCCTTGCCCAGGCCCGCAGGGCGCCCTAGTTCCGGGGTTCAGGGGCCCGAGGGCTGGGGGGCGGGGGGAGGCTGAGCAGCGTGGTCAGGGTCAGGGGCCGGGGCCTGGCCGGGGCTGTTGGGACCACATGGCCCCTCACAGGTCTCTAGGGGACCCGTCGCTAGGGGTGGGGTCGTGAGGCGGGAGGGGTAGGGGGAGGCTGCTGGGGCCGTGGAGCTCGAGGGCCCTTTCGTGGCAGGTGGGCTGCCCCGCGCACCCGGGGGCGACAGCAGACAGCTGTGCCCCCCACTCAGAAATGTCTCCTCCCATCAGCCCGTCCCGTGTTCCTCTGGCCACCGTGTGCCCATAGAAGGGCACAGCCTGAGCAGCCTGGCCGGGGCGCCCCGCCTCCCTCCTTGGCCGCCCCCCCCCGCCCCGTCCTGTAGGCAGAGGACATGAAGAACACGGAGGACGGCATGGGCTGTGGCCGAGGCCCAGGCAGGAGGGTGGCACCCGTGCCTGCTGGCTCAGGAGCTCGGCCTGGAGAGCCGGCCGCGTGCCCCCCGCCCCTTAGAGCTGAGACCTCCTGGCACCCCCCTCCCACAACGTGGTGTCAGAATGAAACCGACACCCAGGGTGAGGCACGGTTCTCATTTCACAAGGTGTCAACGGGACCCGGGGATTTTCCTGTCTCGGGTGGGTGAGAAGTCCCGTTGTCCGGGATGGGATGTGTGGCCTGGGAAGCCCCCACCGGGAGCCCCCAGGAAGGCCAAGGCTGGACAGGCTGGGGCTGGAGCATTTCAGATAAGACCGCCCCCCCCACCCCAGGCCACTTCTATTTGCCAGCATCCAGGACATCACCCCTCCTACCCAGCCAGGTCAGGCTTCGCCCCTGCAACTGGGCAAGGGGCTGCCCCCTCAGACTGCCCTAGGATGGGGCCTCCCCCCTCAGACTGTCCCAGGATGGGGCATCCCCTTTCAGACTGCTCCAGTTGGAGGCCACCCTCTCAGACTGCTAGAGGATGGGGCCTCCCCTCTCAGATTGGCCTAGCATGGGCCCACCTCCCTCAGACTGACCCAGGATGGGACCTTCCCTTTCAGACTCCCTCAGGATGGGACCACACTCCTTCAGACTGCCCCAAGATGGGGCCCAGACTCCCTCAGGATGGGACCACACTCCTTCAGACTGCCCCAAGATGGGGCCTCCATCTCAGACTCCCTAAGGATGGGACTATGCCTCTCTGACTGCCCCAGGATGGGGCCACGCCCCCTCAGACTGCCCCAAGGTGGGTCCATGCCCCCTCAGACTGCCCCAGGATGGGGCCACGCCCCTTCAGACTGCTCCAGGATGGGACCGCGCCCTCAGACTTTCCCCAGGATGGGGCATCTGCCCTCAGACTGCCCTAGGACGGGACTACCCCCATCAGATTGCCCCAGGACGGGGCCTCCTCCCCTCAGAATCTCACATTAGGGCACAGGACTGGGAAGTGCCCAACACGGAGCCCTAAGCAGAGTGTTTGCCCCTCCTCTGCCCCACTTGAGAGTCAGCTCAAGATACTCTCTCCTTGCTCTGGCTGCCCAGCTGTGGGGTCCCACAGAGCTAGCCAGGGCCACAGGGCTCTGCAGAGCCTCCCTGGGGGAGCTGAGGTGTGGCCCTGCACCCTGCCCTGTGGGGAGCCATGGACCTGGGACCCTCAGGAGGGCAGGGATGGGGCCCCCACACAACGCATGGAGAAGGGTCTCAGGATGCCCAGGGGCCTCGGGCTTGACAGGTCTAAATCCTGGAATCCCAACCCCTCGGAGGCCCTGTGTGCACCCTCTGTGTGCACCCTCTGTGTGCACCCTGAACTTCACCAGGGCCAGACCAGGCCGTGCTGGGCCCTCACTGGGCCCACATGGCAGAAGAGCTGTCCCTCACCTGCAGACAGGCCTTGCCCCTGCCCCAGCCCGGCCTGCCCCCCAGCTTGGCAGGGATGGCCTCTCCCGGAGGTCTCCGTGCCCTTGTCCCCAGCATGTTCTTTCTCCATGAAGCCATTGGACCCCACACGCGAACCATTCATCACAGGGCAGCAAAAGCCATGCCACTGGGCGGCCCCTGCAGGCCAGACGCAGGTCCTCCGACCTCACTTCCCCTCCAGGCTTTGCTACCAGCGCCTCCCAGTTCCGACAGGGGCCAGAGTCACTGCAGACTTTCCTTCCCAGCCCTACCTGGCTGTCCCACCCCCTCCCAAGTTTCCAAAAGGTCCTGACCTGGAGCCCTGGCCCTGGCCCTGCCCCACCCCCAGGCCGATTGGGCAGCTCGGGCCATGAGGACATTGTTGGGGGCAAAAGTTGGGTAAGCTGCTGTTTCCCTGCCCCCTGGGCTTCTGACTCCCACTGCCCCAAAGCCAGGGCACAGCTCCTGGTCCCAGGTGACTCGGGGATGCGGCCCCAGAACTGCTCCATGTATGGAGCTAAGAGGCAGGTGAGGGCAGGGACCACGTCCAGGGCCACCCCGGCAGAGCCCCCTTCTGGGCTATCTGTCCCTGCAGAGCCCTTGGTCTTGCCCTTTGGGCCCCAGGGTCTTCAGGAGAGAGGCCACAGGTCTCCGTGGGCTACAGGCGGCTGGTGGCTGCAGGAGGTTGCTGAGCGAGGCTGGACTGCAGCCTCCTGTTCCCCTGAGGGAGCCGGGGTGGGAGGCACCCACCCCAAGGGTCAGGACCTCCCCACACGGCCAGGCTCCCGGGTGGTCCTTCTACCCCTCGCCCTCCCAGTGGGGCTGGACCCCACCTGGTGGAGCCAGGGCACGTGCCTCTGGGGCATCAGGCAGCCACGGGCCACGAGGGCAGGAGAGCGGGGCCAGGACGTGGCCTCGGCGTCGGGCTGAGAGCGGGCGTCGTGGGGGGCGGCTCCCCAGGCCTCCTCCCCAGCCCTGCCCGGGTCCAGACTCGAGGGCTGCCGTCAGAGCTGGGGCAGGCCTGGGACTCCCAGGTGGGCCCCCTCTCCTCCTCCCTCCAGGTCAGGGGTCTCTGGCGCCCGGAAATTTCCCAGGGAGGGGGAGGCTGAGCTCAGCCCAGATGATGGATGCCTTCTCCTGTGTGGGGCTGGCGGAGATCACTGGCTTCCTCCTGCCTTCCATCTGGGCCCTGTCACATTCCTTCCCTAGGTGGGGGACAGGGAGAGGACACCACTCCATACTGGGGACATTGCAGGCCCCCACCACTGCTGAATCAAGAATCCGGAAACCCTCCCTGCATCCTGGCCCCCTCCCTTGTCCCCATCTGCCTCTTCATAAACACAAGGCTGGAGGCACACGGGGGCAGCGCCGGGGGTCTCACGGGCCAGCGTGAGCCGGGCCCCTGACAGGTGGCACCAGGGGTCCGTGCCGTGGCTGGCCCGCACCGCCCCACCAGCCCGCCTCTGCCTGTCTCCCTCAGAGGTTGCCAGCGTGGTTGGCGAGCCCTAGGTTGGGAAGAAGAGGGTCCCACCAGTGAGGCCGAGGACTTGAGCTTCGCTCTCCTGGGGTCTGAGCCCCCAGTGCAGGGAGAGGAGGAGAGGGGGGACAGGGTCTCAGAGGACTGTCTCTTTCTGGAACAAGCCCCGCCCCTGAGGCTTCAGTTTCCCCATGTGCCAGCCTTCACCCCACTCTTCAGACAGACGTTCTCAGTAGCTGGTGAGGCGCTTCGCAGGGAGAAACCAGGCTTAAAAGGGCTAAAAGAACGGCCAAGAGACACTGTCCCAAACCCGGGGGGACACTGGCTGGCGCTGGCGCGGGGCGGGGGTCCTAACAGTGCTCCCTCAGGGGCCCTCTCTGGCCCACGGTTGGGGTGCAGGACCCAGGGTGTCTGGGCTCCCTCTCGGGAGTGCTCAATAGCCCCGCGCAGGGCTGCCTGATGGCTCTGCGCCCAGGGGGATCCCGTAGGGGTGAGACCGGGGCTTCTGAGGCCCATCCAGAATTAGGCACAGCAGGGAGTCACCTCCAGAGACTCCCCAGAGGCAGAAATGGGACGTGGCCCCATCAGAACAAGCTGAGTCTTCTAGACGTGTCGCTCCCAGGCCCAGCCAGTTCGTAGATGGGAAACCTCTCTTCAGGGGCTTGTAACGCTTCTCGAATATCGGGGATCCAGGCAGCCGGCAAAAGGAGTTCCCAAACCTTCCTAGGAGTGGGAGTACATGGCCACAGACCAGCCCCGTCCCCCCTCCCCCATGCCCAGGAGCCTGGCCCCGGGGAGCTGGGGGTCTCTGTGGGGTGT